ATCATGATGACCCATACTACCTCTCACTACCAGACACCCACCTCCGAGGAGCAGACGCCATCAGACACAAGCCAAAAGAATGTGCGGCCGGGCATCACAGAACTCTTACCAAATTTATGGAGGCACATCTCCACTCTGCCCACTGTGGTGGAAGATGAAGATACTGATCTCTCAAAAACAGAGGAAGAGCTGGAAACTACTTCACAAGGTGAGTTTTCTATTTAATACAGTAACACTTTATGGCTGTTATAGTGGAGGTGTTGTTTTTGGGGCAGTTGAAACTGAGGAGCTGCAGCACAAATGCAGAGCTCATTCAGCTTCTGAGTTGTGGGTTCAAATCCAGCTCATTACAGTTAAATGAATGTCCTAGCCTCTACTCTAAGGTTTCCTTATTGTATTTGGTGAACGATGTAGTAAAAGCTGTGCCCTGTGAGTTGTTCTCTGTGGTTAGAGTTGTAATTTTTCATTTGTAGTTTGCCTTCACAAGAATCAAGATAGGCCCAGCTCAAGTTGAGTAGCTCTGCTTTTCTCTCTAGAGCCTGTGAGGAGGACCCGTTCAGCTCCTGAGATGTGAGCCATGAAGAGCCTCATGATGTTCATACAGAGTGGAACAGTACCGGGATGTCCTACAGCTCTGCAGGCATGAGAACCTCTCCAAACCTGGTCAGGAATCTTTATGTTACAAATTATATCACCGTGATTCAAAGGGAGAGCGCAGAAAGAACTCAGTAAATGTTATACATCTAATTTTGCTCTCAACATTTGTTCACTTCCAGTAATTTTAATTTCTGTCACGTTAGTATCGAGGCATCCGAGTTAATAGAGGACAAAGATTTATGAGCAAACTGCAAAATGTCATGTTATTACAAATGTGTTAAAATACAATACTATATAAGTTAAGAATTTAAATCATTGTTTGAAAAACGTTGAAATAAAATAAGGTGTGAAATCACCTTGCACCTTCTGTAGTAGTAGATCTTGAGCAGTACTGTGTCACATTAATATTCTGGCCTGTTGTGCCTATTTTCATCCACAAACATTATCATTTAAACAAAGAACAGAATATGACTGTTATAACTAGTGCTGTCATGTGATTAAAAAAATTTATAGATTAATTAATTATGATCTGTAATTAATTAATCAAATTAATCTATTTTTAATCTCACCTAAAAATTGCTGAGAAAAGCCTTCAATTTGAGGTATTTTCATTTAAATTCATTATTACATTATTGTGGCAGATCAAAAGACTGATATAGAACAAAAAAAGTGACTTTATAAAGTCATTTATTGTTTAACAAACTTTAACAGATGCAGTCACATTCCACAGTATCATCATTATTATTACTATTACTAATCTGCAGTGTTGGGAAGGTTACTTTTAAAATGTATTCCCCTACAGATTACAGATTACATATCCCAAAATGTAGTTTGTAACGGAATCCATTTAATTACTTAAAGTGAGTAACACAATTTGAATACTTTGGATTACTTGATATTGTCATTCTTTTTAAAACTACATGAATGTAGCAACCGCATCCTGCAAATGTTGTTCTTGTTTGTTCTCTTCAAATTGGCTGTTGAGCCCAAGTCTCCATGAATAAGAAACTGTTTGCTGTAAAGTAGCAAAGACTAGGAAATCTGAACATAATAACTTTTGTCTACTTAAAGACAATAAAAAGTCCAGTCTTTCCTTAACCATATTAAAAATATTATTGATAGAGAAATGCTTTATATATGAGATAACTGATTTTAGTCCTGGTTTAGACCTGCTTTAGTCCTACTTTAGTCCTAGTTTAGTCCTGAAATGGGTTAGTCCTGGTGTTAGTTCTGGTTTAGTCCTGGTTTAGACCTGGTTTTAGTTCTGGTTTTAGTTCTGGTTTAGTCCTGGTTTAGTCCTGGTTTAGACCTGGTTTAGTCCTGGTATAGTCCTGGACTGGGTTAGTCCCAGTTTTAGTCTTGGTGTTAGTTCTGGTTTTGAGGCGCACAGGAGTTTACGCAGTGTACCCTACCCTAACGTACGCGGCGCACGGGAGGACAGCGGTGTCCGCGCAGTAACTACGGAAGGAAACGTGGTCCGCGCGTTCTCAGGTTAATGACGATGATGAAGGTGTGTGTGTGTTTGTGTGTGTGTGTTTGTGTTTGTGTGTGTTTGTGTGTGTTTGTGTGCGTGTCCCCTCATGTGGCAGGTCACTATCGGACACTAGTGCAGACATCATGAGCCTATGCAGGTTGTTTTCACCAGTGACATTGAAGTTGTAGGCGATTTTATATTTGTTATTTTCTTTTATATTTCACGTCGGGAGAATAATTTCCAAGACACATATGTGTTTTTACCTGTGCACTGCTGACTCTGTTCTACTGGCTCTTCGACCTCGTCCATTGTGCGACTGATGCCGCCAACGTTAACATGACGTTTACATCGCTCTTACGTTTTGTGTGGGTTTCCGGCAATGAGTGGAATTACTGAAATAAAAAATGTATAAATGTGTTTTTTTTTTGTGTGTGTTGTTGTCCCAACAACACATAAAAACAGATTTTATAATAAAGCAACTCGCATACAGAAACAGTAAAGTTTAGATTAGAGATTAAAAATGAGATTAACGCGATTAAAAAACATAACGCGCTAAATATGACTGTAATTAATTAATCGCAATTAACACGATAATTTGACACCTAGTCTCACCTAGTTATAACACAGTAAAAAAGTGACCTAATGGGGCCCAGGGAGGGGGGAAAGTGGGGGGTGGTTGGGTCCCACAAGGCTCTGTCATGCCAGGAGGCCTCCACTGACCAGTAACTACAAGAGTATCTGTAGTTTCAGGTGATTACTTTGTTAAACAAAAAATAGCATAATTTTAGAATGTAAATGGAGTGTGGGCGTCATTGAGTTTTTTAATCGAAATCATGTAACAAATGTGGATACCAAATTTTGTGTATCTATGAAAAATAAAACCTTATTTTTCCATAAAAAATTTCTAGGGGGTGCTATTGCACCCACTGTACTTACATCAATCTGTGCAGGGTTGGGGTATGAACTCACAATTAAAATCTGAGTGAAATCGGCCAAAGTTTGTAGATTTTACCAATGGAATAACATGGAGAGTTTATGTCATCGCTATGGCAACGCCATAAAAAATATGACATGGGTGTCATTGACTATTGCTTTGCGATACTAATAGACCCTTCGCCAGCCTCTGGCACTTGGGCTTAATAATTCGATCAAAAACAATATATCCGAAAACATTAGAACAGCATATTATACATTTTTTGAAAGCTCTCGACCTCCTCCACGTCACCGTGGGGTCATTGGTGAGTGACGGCACTGACGCGCTCTCATTCACCCATGCGCTCGTCGCTCCCCATTCACTCCGCGTAGTGTAAGCAATAGGCCCTACGCTCTGTCGGGCTCAGGCCTAATAAATAAATAAAAATAAATAAATACCACCCCTTACTCTTATGCTGTGACTTGTAGTTTACTGAGTTGAAAGTTAAACAAGTAGTTCAAACTGGAAACTGATCACAAGTAATTTGGGTTATGAGCTAAGCCCGCTACCTACACTTAAGCACATGGTACCAATTAACTGTGTGAATATAAGACCTGGTTTTGTTTGTGGGGGTCTAAAATACCTCTGTTTTTCCATCCATCCATCCATTTTCTTCTGTTTATCCGGGGCCGGGTCGCGGGGGCAGCAGTCTAAGCAGGGACTTCCAGACTTCCTTCACCCCAGACACGTCCTCCAGCTCCTCCGGGGGGACCCCAAGGTGTTCCCAGGCCAGCCAAAAAACATAGTCCCTCCAGTGTGTCCTGGGTCTTCCCCGGGGCCTCCTCCCGGTGGGACATGCCCAGAACACCTCCCAAGGGAGGCGCCCAGGAGGCATCCGGAACAGATGCCCGAGACACCTCAACTGGCTCCTCTCAATGTGGAGAAGCAGCGGCTCTACTCTGAGCTCCTCCCGTGTGACTGAGCTCCTCACCCTATCTCTAAGGGAGCGCCCAGCCCACCCTCCCTGAACTGCCACCTTATCGTGGTGGAGGGGTTTGAGTGCCTGAATGATCCCGGAGCTATGTTGTCGGGGGCTTCATGCCCCTGGTAGGGTCACTCAAGGCAAACAGGTCCTGGGGGACCGGTCAGACGAAGAGCGATTCAAAAGCCCTATATGAGAGGCCAGCGACGTCGCCTGGATTGGCGTTACTGGGGCCCCACCATGGAGCCAGGCCTGGGGTGGGTGCTCGCCAGCGAGCGCCTGGTGGCTGGGCTTTCCCCCACGGGGCCCAGCCGGGCTCAGCCCGAAGGAGTGACGTGGGGCCGTCCTCACGTGGGCCCACCACCTGCAGGAGGATCCATATGGGGCCGGTGCAGAGAGATCTGGGCAGCAGTCGACGGCGGGGGTCTCGGCAACCTGATCTCTGGACATGGAGAGTGACTCTGGGGACACGGAATGTCACCTCTGTTTTTTTTTTATTCTTTCATGCTTTACTTTTAAAAGGGAGTATGATGCTTTTTTTTTTTTTACAGATTTTTACTTACTCTTGAACCCTTCACTGTAACAAATTTCCTGTAAATTTTACAATAAACACCTGCCAATTTTGTTGCCAGGTGTTTATTGTATTATTTCAATAAATTACTGTAAATTGTATTTACAGGTAAGAGCTGGGAACACTTTACAGGTTTTTTTGGGGGAATTTTCAGTTATTCATTGGTTTGAAGTTTACAGTAAATAATTGCTCTGCAGCTTACAGCAAAACCTTGTATACCACATTCACAAGTATTACCTGGCAATTTTGTTGCCAGTAATTCCCTGTAATTTAAAAAAATACAGCTAATCAATGTATTGTCATAAGAATAGACAGACTCAGAGCTAAAATGCATTCAAACATTTATTAAAAAAAACAAACAGTTAACACAAATACACATTAAAATATGTAAACAAAAGATGTAACAAAATATTTAACACATGTAACTGACAGTTGGACATGAGCTGATGTATAAAGAGCCTGAAGAGAAGAGACATGAGGATCCTTCAGCTCTGTGTGAGCTGCACTCAAGTCCTTTAGGCTCCTTCTAGATCTGTAGTCCTGTGTTCACCTCATGAAACATCTGCAATCACAAAACACACAGGAATCAAAGGAGGTAACAGCAATCTGTATTATTCTAATGTCATGCAGAAATGCTCACCTGTGAAGTGCAGTGGATGCAGTGAAGAAGTGAGTTGAGCTCAGACACAGAGCTGAAATGTGACCTGATCGTAACTGATCAGTGCTCAGTATAAACCAGGAGACCTAAACACAAACAATCACATTTTATTATTAGAATACACCTTCAATATTTACACTGAGAGGAGTGACAGAAAACAACTGTGCTTAATGTTATTATAATGACCTCAACATCCCACCACTAAGTGTGTACATGAATGACATGCTCACCAGTCCAGTGTGCAGGAGGCTTCTAGTGAAGAATGCAGGCAGCTACAGAGGTGAGGTCCTCAGTCTCCAGTGTCTACCTGGTCTGGTGACACCTAAACAAATAAATACATATTTTTTATTAAACATGGTGTTCATTATTACACCTGCAATCACAGAACATTGTCTTCCATGTTTTTTGACATGTCTGGCCAATTCTTTAATTTAATCACAAGTTTACCTTTACTTTACTCCAGTGCACAGTGGACTTTTATATCCGTGTTGATGAGCCAGCTCAGCTCATGGTGAGATAAGACCTGGACCTGGTCTTCTCTCTTCAGTCCACCATCTGGTGTAGGCCGACTGCACTGACAACTTCACCTGAACAAACACATTCACATTTGTATCAAACATAGACGTGTAAAGCCTGAACTGGCAATATGCTTTTGTAGTTCACATTCACAGCAAATAGGCCTAAACATATTCACAACATTAATAGACTGACAAAGATTCCTTTGAAACACATCACGTGTGCACTGCTCCACTGCTCCTCCTGCCTGCTCCAGTGTGTCCGCGGCCCCGCCCCGCACACACCTCTTTCCCTCCATGACACACGTTCTACCCGGGCTTGTACCAGGACCAGTGCCCGCATTCACTGTTCACATGTAAAACAGCGGCTCAGCCCGCGCTCACCTCTGATAACCACTGACTCTAGTGAGCCCCACAAACTCCTGTTCTCCCGGAGTTTTACGACGCTGCGGCCGGTGTCTGCGTTGTTTCCCGCACACTGTCGTATCATTCCGCGCTCTCCTCGGTTCACCGCGGCCTCTCGTGAGCGCCATGTCCGCTCTACCGGTGTGTTCATGTGTCGCAGTTTTACCGCGGCGCGGCCTCGTCTGGACCCGGGTCCGTCCGGCTCAGCTCGGATCACCGACACCGCGGTGCCTCGCGCGCAGCAGCAGCTCGAAGATGAGCTGCACCGGGCTCGAGGGAGTCGGCCATTTTCCTCATGTGCTCATGTAAACAAGCCTATACCGGTCTAAATGCGCATGCGTGACCACAGATAACAGCGCGGTTCTGTTACGTTTAAAAGGCTACGTTTACGTCACAGACACAGAAACAAACAAATAAGCTATCATACAAGCTGTATTACAGCGGGGAAAAAAATATAAAAATGACTTAAAAACAAACAACCAACAACAAAACAACAGGTTACTTACTCTTTTGTGGAGTGAATGGACCAGTGCATTATCCCGATGAGCTCCTCTTTGTCTCTGCTATTCTTAACTGAATGTGTGCGGTGTAGAAACATTTGAAAATACAACATTTACATGTAATATCCTCCCAGCTACAGTAAAGCACAAACTCATTTTAATTTACAATAGGCTGTTGTAGAAAAACTTCTTACTAACTGTAGTATTTTTTTGTCCCACAATGCATTGCAATCTACAGTTATGACATGTAATTTGTGAAAGCAAGAAGCAGTTGTAAAAGTTACTGTAGAAACTACAGAAATTTGTTAGAGTGTTGACTTGTAATGGCCAGCAGTTTTCATATATTATGCTGAGAGCTGCTGTAGCTAACACATGACTTAATCTGGCAAAATAAAGGATGGGTGAGTTCAAACTTTCAACTTTGTGATTGGAACAATATTAGGGCAGAAGAAACAAGCTGTCTAGCTTAATGTCTGATAACAACGGCTCCACCTGGTATGGCTATGAAAGGGAAAGTGATGACCTATCTGTGAGACCAGCACCCTTGGGCTCCCCTCGCTTTAGCCTGTCAGCTGGAGGAAGACATGTTTTGAGCTGCACTGGTTGTCTGGTCTGTTTGTGGCTGTGCCTGACATCTCTCTCCTCCCACAGGGGCTGCAGGGACACAGTGACCCTCATTTAAAGAAATGTTTGAGTGCAATAGAATACACACAATAAGTGGCTTCATATCCATGTAGATGTTCCACAGTACAGCATTATATCAAGCCTTTGTTCAATTAAATTAATGAACACTGCTGATCAGTTTTGTGAGCTTGGGGTCCCAATCTCACAATGGGCACAGTGGATAATGAGCAGTAGCTAGCATGGGATGCTGGGCAGTGGCATATGTGTGGGGGGAGTGGTGGGTGAGGCACTGCCTGTCAGTGCGATGTCCATCTCCTCTTCACTAATAGGATCAAACACAGGAAGGTCGTGGCCAAAGAGCCAGCGGGGCGTGGGCTAATGCTGCACGCGCGCCATCCGTGCCCATCTGCTGGACCCGTCATCCATGCCCATCTGCCCAACCGGTCCCCAGGGATTTACTATGACTCATCACTTCGTGTGTGTGTGTGTGTGTGTGTGTGTGAGAGAGAGAGAGAGAGAGAGAGAGAGAGAGAGAGAGAGAGAGAGAGAGAGCGTGAGAGAGAGAGAGAGAGAGAGAGAGAGAGAACATGGGTATTTATCACATTGTGGGGACTACAATCTCACATCATGGAGACCTGCCTCTCCAATATACAAAAAAACTTGTCCCCATACACTGGAAAAAAAAACAATATCTAGCTAAGTTAAAATGACTAAGAACATTTTACTTTATTTGAGTAGCTTCAACATGACAAGTAAAATTATCTATCAATGGATATCAATGGAACAAGTGTGTTTTTCTTAATTTAAACATTAAATTTTGTTTCTTATTTTAAGTGCAAAAAGTTGTTGTTTTACTTATTTTAAGTATAGCAAGATGTATTCATATTCATATTTTAAGTACAAAAAGTCTTAATCCACTGGCAGATCATTTTACTTGTCAAGTGAAATTTATTCAAATCATGATAAAACTTTCTTAATTCCAGTCAACTTAACTTGACTAGATTTTGCATTTTGCAGTGTGACGTAAATCCTTTATTCTTGCAACATAGTTTATTTGTTTATGTACTCACATAAAAAGTGACCTTCACAAAGAGGTAATATTGCTGTGCCAGGTTAGAGTAACATTGCAAATTACCACCTGATTTAAAGTTCAGATATGTGTTAAAACACACTACTGATCAAAAGTGTTAAAACACCCTAGTTATTTATTGCAGTTCAAGTTGTGCAAGTCCAGTGAAGAGCTTGAAATGGTACAAAGGTAAGAATAGAACAGACAGAGTTTAAGAAACATATAAAGATAACAAAACACAAGTCCAAGCTCTGCCAAAACTACCGCAGGAAAAAAGAACAAGATGGTAAAGCTTGAAAACATGGAGTGTCCAGCACAGTGTCCAGACTTAAACCTCATCGAGCTGGTTTGAGATGAACTGGACAGAAGAGTCAAGCAACCTACAAATGCCACACATTTATGGGAAGTTCTACAACAGACTTGGGATGAACTTTGAAGAATATTTGATTTCTATTGTAAAAAGAACGAGTCACGAGTGTGTTTAGCTGTTATATCTTCCAAAGGTGGACACTTTCATCAATCAGAGTTTAGAATATGTTTTGTTCAACAGCAAATAGTAAAAAAAAAAAAAAAGGAAAAAATTTGGTGTTCTAAAACTTTTGACCAATAGTGTAGGTTAAAGCTACCATCCATACATTTATTTGATTTTTTTTCTTTTTCATCAGTAGATGGTAGATCTGAAACCTGTGCCCCCTTTCCTGGCCCCTCCCCTCTCCCCTCACCTGGCCTTTGTTTAGACTCACCTGTGGTCTCTGGTCTTCTGTCAGGCCAAAGCTGGCACATGATTATGACTGGTTATATGGTTATATGTGAGAATGCAAGCATGTTCGGTCGGCCAGTCTAATTATGAATGGTAGTTTAAGGTTAGGGTTTAGGTTAAGGTTATAGCTAGCCTTAACCTAAACTTAAGGTCACACAGGAAATTAATGCAAGTTAATCTAATGTCCCCAAGAAGCATGAAACACCTGTATGTGTGTCAGTGGTAATTACCCCAGGGGTCACCTCTAGTAAGTTTCCCATTGTTTACTCATAACTTTCAAGATGACACATGCACATGGATTATGTCCTCTAATACGTGCAGGCTGTGAAGAGGGGGCCACACCAGAACAGCTTCTTTTTAAGTACATGGACAATATTGTCCTTTTTTTTTTTAAAGCAGACTAATACATGGTGCAGTAATTGCGGCTCAGAGTGGAAAAGCTGCTCACGTCATTCACTGCCCTGTGGAACCACTCACCTTTGACCTATCAGAAGTTCCTCCAAATATATCTTGGGTTCATTCATTCTGTGAAAATGTGAACGTAAACTGTACAAGCTTAATTAACAACATAAAGAACTTGTATACCTCAAACATATAATTAGACTTGTTCACTTAAGGTTGAAGCCAACCTCGACTGTCTGAATGAAACTTTTATCATATCTTCATATCTTCAGTATGTTTTTTGTAGTATAAATTGGATCATTCAGCCTCAAGTGCATTGAAAAAAAAACATTCACCAAATAAATTCATTTGCATTGTGCATGTATTTCTACCCTTGTGTAGCGGCCTGTGGACAGTTCGCTGAGACAATGCATGGGCAAACATAGCATTGTTTATGAACCACTCCTATAATAATGAACACAGAATGAACTCCATGAATGGGCTATTTCTGCCCTCTATTCTTGGTGTCGCACCCCTTTTGTCCACATAGTTAGTCATTTGGACAAATTTTGAATAGTAATATATACAAAAATGTGCTTTATTGTTACCCAAAGTATCACTGCCATATGAGATCACAGCAACAAGTCAAACAGAGATCATAGTCATTAATTATGCCTTATTTGTCTCTTGTTATTTTTGCTACCTATTTTGAATTTATTATTACCGTTTATATGTTTTCTCTTTATCATATATTGTGATGTGTGAGCTACTATGTCCAAATCATTTCCCTTGTGGATTAGTAAAGTTTGTCTAAGTCTAAGGACCATATCTTGTCCCCAGTCTTAGGGCAAGTGCTAGTGTTAATGAGGGGGCATGTCCAGGATGGGTTATACTTTGCTGCTGGAGGCTGGAGTGGGACGGTACAGGTACATTTATGGTGATGGCATCTGAATCAGTCTGTGAGTGCTGTGGCATTTAAAATCACTGCCAGCGTGGGTAATGTTTGCAATCTGCCTACCAGACTGCAAATAGGGGTGTGGGGAAAAGTTATATATGGATAAAATAAAACAGCTCCACAAGATGCAGATGCAGAAGTCTGTATTCAAGAAGACCTATGAAGAATTATGCTTATGTCTGATATATATTTATAATCTATGACATCCATGGATCATTATCTTTTTTTTATTTTTTATTTTATTGCCAAAAGTACAAAATAACAGGCAATTTACATTAGAACAAACAAAAACAGGTGTCGAGATTTGGCTCATAACTCTAGTCATATGTAGTTAAGTACAGTAGTCAGGTAGGGCATTAAAAAACAAACAAAAAAACTACTCAGTCAAATAAAGATGGTACACGTGACCATCGCCTTAAGAAAATATCCATTTTGAGTTGAAGCTGGGCAGTCAGACACTCAATCTGATAAACGTACTTAAATTTTTGTGTCCATTGAGCAATCGTTGGTGGGAGATCATTATCTTTTAATTTGCACATTTTAAATCATAATATTAATCTAAAATGACTTAATAAAAGAAACAAGTGCACTGATTTCTGAGTGAAAACTGCATTGCCCAGTCAGAGCTGACATTGCCGTAAACATCATCACAACAAAGAGCTGTGTTGCTGTTGACCCCTCCTATGGATTGTGAACAGCACTGCCAGCACTGCATCACTGAAATTTGTATTAAAGAACAGAGTAAGTGCAGAGCAGTGGGCTTATGTTGGTCGCAGTAAAAAGTGGGATTGATTGGCAATAGGACATCTTGAAAATAAAGGATTAAAGATTACTCAAACATGCACCAGTCACTCAAAATACAACTTTAGAGGGGGAAATGAGAAGGCAAACCAATTATAACACCGTCAAAAGCTCTGAAAAGTTGATTTAGCACAGTGCTTCTCAAATAGTGAGAAGCCCCCTGGGGGGGGGGGGGGGGGGGGGCGTTTGACCTCGGGG